TCTTTTCTATTGTGTCCATCTTGGTACTTTTGATGGCCCTCATTGCTCCATGGTCTTAGTCCTTTTGCAGTGCTTTAGAGATTTTATCCTTTTAGCAGCTTTTGAAGGCAGCAATGCATCCTCACCATTTTAAAGCTGAGTTGGGGGCATAGCATGCATTAAAGGGCTTCTCCAATTCCATTGTAACAGAGCCAGGACTGAAAATCCAATTGTCCAAGTCCTAATGCAGCCTGTCCAGCCTTGCTCACCAGTCCACGGCAGTGCCAGCTTGCTGCCTGCAGTCTCTCACCCTGTTACATCTTACCGTAGCAGAGCCTGACTGCAGACTCGGGTATTTCACGGGGCCGGTGCCGCTGCACCACTTCTCTCGTGTCTTTCTGTTTGTGCTGGCTCTGTACAACACGAGCTGTCTCTGGGTGCACAAGGCTGAAATCCACCACCCTGACAAGCCTCGGCTGCTCACCCTAACGCCCGTCAGTGCTGCACATCCACGGGCGCAGGTGTGTCCTTCTGCACAGACCTGGCACTGCTTCGTTTTGCCTTCCTTCTCGTTCTGTTAAAGCGTAATAGCCAAGACCCCTTGACTCCACATGGCAAAAGTCTGGTAGCTACCAAGCTCTGGAAGTCCTTGCCAAGAGCAGCATCAGACTGTGCCTGGCTGCGTGGCTGCTCTCCTGTGACCCTGGGCGATTGCACTGTCGGCCATGAAATTCTTTCTGTGGCTGGTGCAAGGTTGTGGCTCTGATGAGATCTCTATGTCCATGCTATCACCACTGTTCTGTGTAACAATGGAGCTGCCAGCCACCGGCACCATGCACGCCAGCTAGAAGCCCCAGGAGGTGTTCTCTGGATTATTTCCCTGTGTTACAGGAAGGGGAAGAAGATGCCATTTATAAATTTTAACTTATTTCCATGTATTTCCTACTTTATTTTGATGTGTTCTCTCGTTCTGCATCTATGCCTCTCTGCATCTCTTTGTAGGTCTGTGTTTAAGGTGTATGTCAACTTAAACTTTGCAGCAGATGATTTCCAGTCGAAGGGAATTATTTTTTTCTACTTCCTCTGCATCACCTGGCTTATGGACAGTGCAAAGACATGAACCTAGTGCAAGGAGGTCACAATCAAAATAGTCTACTTCCCCCCTTGCCCATGCCCTGTTGTCATATCAGCCCTTGGGAACTGTAAGCTGTTGGTTTAAAATTTAAAATTTAAAAAAAAAAAAAACAAAACCTCCACAAAGCAGCACTAAATTTCACCACTGCAGTGTAGAATAAGACCAAAATAAACAGTAATTGGCACACCAGAGAACATAGCTCTGTATATATCCATACAGATGTATCAATGTGCTTACGATTTTCAAAACTGAATAGGTACAAGCAGGCACGTAAGTCCATGTTTAACCACCTTAAAAAATGGTCTGATTTTTCCAAACTGCTGTGCAACCAGCAGATCCCACTATAGTCAAAAGTAGGAAGTTTTGTATTCTGTACTTCTATTTTTTTTTTATAGTGCTTCTCTTAATGAGTCTATTCTAAAACTTTTTGCAAGCAGAGCCCTCAAAAAAAAAATGAACAGGGAACAATCATCTTAACTGTACTGCAATATACTCTTACAATAAGTAAAAAATGTGGTGGGAAAGACAAAGTATTACTTTTACAATATCCTGTGCCAAATCACAGGTTATACAATTCAGTTTTTTATTTGCACAGCCAACAGTGCTTTGTAGAGCAATCAGGGAAGATAATACAATCCATTTTAAATTCTCATTACTTTAGAAGTGTTGAATCTTCTTAAATTGTTTCGGGGTTAATTGAGAATTTGCAGTTTTACAATAGACTAGGAATTGTTTAGGCTGCCCTTGTTTCACTTTTTTTGTGCATACCTTTGTTGCAAAGTTATAAAAACAATAATAAAAAAAAAAAAGAAACAAAGAAGTGAAATGAAATAATGATCTGCATTGTTACTATTCTAGTAATTCATTTTAATGGGAAATAAAGCCCAGGTATTGATTAATGTTTAAATGGTTATTAAGTGGAAGGATGTGTTGGGATGATGGAACGTCACACTGTGCACTAGCGTTTGCCTTTGATGTTTTTCCGTGTACTCCCTAAGGGCTAATTTCTGCTGCTGGGGAAGCCACTGTGAAACTCTGAGTGACACCTGTGAGAGCCTGAATAAGCCAAGCATTTTCAGTGTTTGTCTCTTTTTCTCATAAATTCCAAAAGGTTCTGGTTTGCAAAGTTGCCCTTTAATTTATTTTAACATAGTAATAGCTCATAAAAATGTGGAATTTTTCGTGGCTGTGTGTGTACATACATATATATATATATATATATATATAAATTTTGAACCTGAAACCTGTATGTTCCTCTGTACCATGGAAGAGGCAATCTGGTTCAGCAGCCCTGAGGAAGTTGCATTTTTCTGAGCCTGAAGCAGTCTTGGTGAAGAACAGCAGTCATGTGTACAGTGTTGTCTGTCAGCACCTCTGAAATTAGCTGTCTTCATCTTCTGCAGAATAATATCAACTCCCCTGGAGTCACACCAAAGAAATGTTGAGGCAACTGATGATTTTTTTGATGAGAGGTATTTCTCTGATGAATTAAGAGATGGCTTTCTGCTAAAAGTGAGCTTGTTTTTCAAAGACAAAACAGTATTTTTTCTTTGGACTCCCATTCTTTTGAAATAAGAGTACTTTAACCATCTTTGAAGTAGAATGTCACCATGGAATAGTTTATTTAAATGAACCTGCAGGTCACATGGCAAATTCATAGGGATTCTGGAGCCATGTGTTTTCTAAGGTATAAATTCAAGTCTTGCTCTGCCTCCAGATAACCCAGTTATAGTGGGCACGTGATCTATGGGCTGCGAAAATATGTCTGTGTTTCTGTCCTGTATGTCTCAGGCCTGGGTACCTGTGTGTGCACTGCCTCGTTTATGCATGAAAAAAAACAATTTGTCCAAAACTTTTCCTGTTTAACAATTAAGTTTTCTTCCTGAAGAATAGTATGGTGACTGTGCCCAAAATTTATTATTCAAAGATTATCATGAATCGAATCCATTCTAATCCTAACTTACACGGGGAAAAAAAAAAAAAAAAAAAAAAAAAAAAAAAAAAAAAAGGTCTTTGCTTAACGGCACCTTTCTATGGCATTATTTGAAATGCTGGAGGGCAAGTTCCTGGGATGAGGGACAGAAGAGATCCGTTCTTTGGTTTGTTCAATAGTCTTTTACAGTGCCGTCAATGACAGAACTGAAGCTTGAGCCATGCACAACGTTAACTGCTTTTGTTTTTCTTTTACCTTTGTCCAATGATTAAACTTCCTGCTCAAACACAATAATATTTTCTGCAAGAATATTGAATGATGGTAATGGCCATCTGGGACATCTACCACCTCTGCCTAGCTTTTCTGAGATCCTAGCAGAAATCCAAAGTTCTCAAACTCTGCCTGATCCAAATGACTCAGCAGTGAAAAAGCTCAAGTTATATGGGGCTGAGGTCTGGCACGAGGACTTAGGAGGTCAGAGGCAGCTGGATAGGACAGCTGCACATTGCCTCCTTATTGTTCGTATGATAAAGGCCACCCCTTAACAGTCTGCTCAAGGGATCTAGCAACTAATCACAACTTATTTTTTCGCTTTCCAGAGGGCACAAGAGATCAAAGCAAGACTCCAAAATAAGCATTCAATGAGACCACGTCTTTCTTTGGCCTGCAATTTATTCTTTCTTCTTCTAGCAACTGCCACTGTATTTCATTTTACTTCCTTTTTTTCCCCTCCAACAATGTTATTTTTGATTATTCCCTCAGGAAATAGCAGCACTGATAAATTATTTTTGGCAGCATTATCACATGGGACGTCACTAGGAGGCACTGGCCAGGCACATACTCATTAAACAAGAAGAGGTTTCATGTCCATTACTTATCATTTAAAATGTCTATAGAAGATTGTACGGCTGTTTATGACCTATAGCAGTTAATTACAAAAAAAAAGATAAACAGGTTATTATACTAAGTATTGATTATATGATTGGAGTTTTGATTTAAAATATTAAGACATTTCATCAGAGAGGGAATTGGTACCAGTCAATTCAGCTTTGTGGTGTTAAATTACTTAGTGTATTTAGTGGAGTATAGAATTAGACCTTAATCACGAACATTTTTATGTGTATTACTTCAGTCAAGTAGCATAGTTCTTAGTGCATAAACTCCACAATCTCTCTAAATATTTTCAGTATCAGGGCCTAAATATCTGTGCCTATTAGTGCAAAGAAAGTGCAAGTGAATTTTTTATTGAGGGACCTGACAGACAGCATTTTCAAATCCTTATGCAGACAAATGTGGTTGAATTGTTCCAAGATTCTAAGCATCTATTTAAAACCATCAGAAGCAGGAAAATACAGATCACCAGAACAAATGCATGCAAACTGGGTCTGCATAATACCAGCTCCTCTTAGACCTAATGAATCCATAGTCTCTTTTTGGAACCATACTCCACTACTTATTACATTTCCAGCTTCACCCAAAATAACTAATTGTAAGATAAAAATGAAAAACACTCAAAAAATAAATTAAAATTATAACTCCTAGTCCAGCCAGACTTTTTGAGCCTGGAAAAAGGAGGACCCTGAGAGGATTCAGGAAGTCTGTGAATACCCATGTTGATGCAGAGGTCCACTGGAAGAGTTCAGGTACTCTGGCTGTGTAGCACAGCAGTAGGAAATAGGTCCCACATAATGGTTTAAATACTGATTTCTGTACTAAGTTTTTGGACATAGGTATCCAAAGAGATCGGCCCAAACCTCTCCCTAGCTCTCCATTCATTAGATAAGCCTAACAATAATGAACTACCTCAAAGGGAAGACACGAGGTTCAAAATGAATTTTTTAAGAGCTCCACCCCACGAAAGCTGGTGAATGCAAAGACGTATTCTTTTGCAGTAACGTAATTGTTTTATGTCCAGATATATAATTTGTTAACAAATTCTATGTTTCTATCTAGGTATTCGGTTTACAAGGATCCAGCAGGCTGGCTAGAAATCAACCCTACCAACGGTACCATTGGCACCACTGCTGTCCTGGATCGGGAATCTCCTTATGTTCACAATAACATCTACACTGCTCTCTTCCTGGCAATAGACAGTGGTGAGTAACTATTATGGATCATATTTGTTAAACTATATGACTTTTTTTCCTGATTGAAATTTTCTGTTCAGAAAAGTGCAGATGTAAATTTAAGGGTACACTTCAGCACTTTGCTAGGTGGCCACCTGAAGGTATCGGAGATCTTTGTGACAAAGCAAAAACAGAGGAATTAACTTAAAACTTCAAATTGAGAACAGCTTTGATTTAAGATTAGGTCTCACATGCATTCCTATGCTGGGATCTTAATGCTAGATGCAAATATTCTATGAACGTTCTTGGAAAGTAATAAGTCATCTTTATCAGAGTTAATTTCTTCATAGTATTTGAGCAGTTAGTAAGCCTAAGGCACCTAAATACCAATAACAACTCATCCCTGATACGCTGAATTCTGTTCAATACAATGACAGTGACAATAAAAACATAAGTAAAAACCCTTGTTAAAATGCAGTATTTTTTACATATTGTGTGGATTAAAGTCCCTTCTGTCAAATATAATCAAAATTAAACTATTTAGTGAAAATTCAGTGAGTGACTTTGGAGCAGAGAAAGAGAGAGAAAATCCTGAACATTCCAAATCTCCAGAGCTAAAGGCACAAAACAAATAAAAGATTTGTCTGTAATATAACAGCTAATATGCTAACGCTTTTTTCACAGCTGCAGCTGGTTTAGCCCTGGTGATTAATTGTAAAATGTTCTTTTTAGGAGAGTAATTCTACATTTTTGTAACCACATGACTCAGGGAACATTTGCAGGGCCTGACAGGAAAAAGAAAATATCGCCTTAAGTATAAAGGAAAAAAAAAAAATCTGCTGAGATGGTGATTTACTTATATACTCATATACATATTTTTCTTAGGAAATTTCCATGGGAAAAATGTAGCACTCAACTCATTTCTGTCTTTTACTTGCTATTGGATAAAGATATTTTAAATGCATCTTAAAATCTGGTACGCTGGGAAATATCATCTTATAGTGAGAGTAAAAATTCAGGATAATATTATGGAGGGATTATCAAGAGAACAAAGTTGCGTATGCTTGAAGAGTGGAGTCAAATATCCTCAAAGAAAATAGATGGAGGAGGAGGAAGCTGAATATTTCCAACTGTGGCAACCAGTCTGACTGAAAGTGTTTTTCTGGGTGTACCTTTATGCTGTGCTCAGGGCAGTAATACACATTGCTGATGTGTTCTAAGAACCTCACTGCTAGGGGACTCCTCTTAACGCCCAGAATTTTTTTTCCATTCTGGAAAAAGAAGAGAAGGGGAAGGTGCCTGTGCACTGAACAGCAGAGCAAGAGAAGATCTGTGAGGTGGGTTAGAGAAAAGGAATGCTGCTCAGTTGAGGTACTGAGTCAGCGTCTTGTTCAAGTGGCTGTTACTGTGTTTATTCGTAATTCTGCAGTACTGTTAGCGCAGGAGCTAATCTACTCCAACGTTATTGACTTCTTTGAATGAAGTAATTAGAAGCCACATGTGTGCATTTAGTACTGTCGTGCTAAGATGTTAATAACGAACATTCAGGAGTACTGTACTCCTTCACTGTATGTAGCTCAGGCACATGTGGAAGTGGCAATAAACAGCAAAACTTAAAGAGATGATATTAACCTTGTGGTCTGTATCACCCCTGGATTAATTGCCGAACAGCCTGTGAAACATATTAAACTTAGAGGCGGGTTGGTAACTGGAAAAAATATTTGCTAGTCTGTACAAATGTATGAGTGGAATCTGTGGGAGTTGAGAGGAGCTGGAGCTCCTCCGGAGCCTCGGCCTCAGTCGCACACAGGTACGTGCCTCTGGGCTCCCTTGCGGTCCGGCTGCCTCCATTCGCAGGGGGAGCAGAGCTGTCTGCACAGAGGAGCTGCCGGCCTGAAGTCTCACTCTAGGCTCTCTGGCTAAAGCAGCCAAGGAAATGTTAGAACTGATTTCAACAGGTAGGTTTGAGGGGTCTGCTTTGTCCCCCACAATTATGACTGGGACTGATAATATCCCTGGAAGGTGCTTCTCCAACTGATTTCCAGGCCACTGATAATTCTACCTAGTAGAGCTCTGAAACCCACTTCATTTTTCTAGCCATCACAGCTAATGTCCATCTTGAAAAGGGGTATTACATTAGATGACAAGCCAAATTGTGGTAGAATGTTATGAAATGAATACAGGAGTCTTTCAGACTTTAAAAGAAGGTTATATTAACTTAAAAAAAAAAAAAAAAAATAAAAAAAATTGAACATGGCTGTATGCATTCTCTTTAAAACAGCATTGTCCCCAAACTGCAAATCTCTTTCTTCAGGTTAGTAAGTGTAGCCTAATACCAGGGAGCACAGTTAGGACTTTTATGTGACAGGGCAGCCAAAGGCAGGATTAAGAATTGCAAAGGAGATAGGGAGGTAAATTGAAAATTCAGAGGCACATCCAACAGAGCAAGTCATTTGCTTGGGCTAACAGACTTGGGGCAAAAAGGGAGGAGAGGAAAAAAACCCTCATACTTTATCAGCCATACTTCTTTCAAAAGCATTCGGTGTAGGTTATTATTTCCTTTGGCCTGTCATCTTACCTCTAAGCCAAACCCGAGGTGTGCTGGCACACGCACCGAGGATGTTGAGCTGCCACAGACTCCCCTGAGTGGGGAGCACAGGAGCTGGGTGATGCCCAGCGCTGCTCCCAGGGGAACACAGAGCCCCTGCGCCCCGGCCCAGCCCTCAGTGGTGCTCGCCAGGCTCCCTGAGAGCTCTGCCTGTCCCTGCGGCCACACCAGCCACGCCTGATCCTCCCTCCCCAGGTTCAGCTTCCGACAGCACTAGCAGGAGTTTCTGCAGCGTTAGCACTGTTTGTTGTCGGTATAAGGGATTGCAAACTTGACACGTACTGTGCCAGGGTGTCTGTGAGCTGTGTGCTAATTTTTAACAGTATTTATGATAAGGCAAGGTTCTCAAATCAAATAAAACCCCGGACCTTAGACCTTGCTAAAGGACCTTAGACATATATTAAATAAACATATTATTTTCTTTGAGTATTCATAGCATATAGAATTTATATAATCACAGAAAAGATAGTTGTCCTATCGTATTCCATGGTCACTTCTTTTTAAAATGACCTTACATTCGAGTGCCATCATGGGTGAAAAGTGGAGACAGCTGAAAACAAAACAGTGATGCTTTTCTCCTACCCTTTCACTGATGGCAATAGAGAATCTGTCACTGGATTCAGCAGGCACTGCCTTCAGTGCAGGGGATAAGTGCCAGGGCAATTTTCTTATTTGTAAAATGTTGAAGATTTCTGTCAGAAGTAAAACCAAGAGCTTCATGCTTGGTAGTTCTTTATATAAATCCATCACATCTTTATCTTTTTTTCAGTAAATCACAAAACTATTCTTTACCAGTAGGACAGTGACCATGAATGGACCACAGAAAATAGAGTCATTCCACTGCAGGAAATAATTTAGTTGTTTATGATATTCTTTCTGTACTTTATGATATTATTTTTCAGCATTATGAAATTAACGTCAGAGGTAAAGTAAGAATTGTGGGGTTTCTGATCTAAACAGCTCCTGTACCTTCCCAAACATAATAGAAACAATGTGTAAGAGCAAATTCGATGGACACAGTATTAATTTTATAGATAATAAAGCTTGACCTTTTATTAGGGGAAATTTCACTTTAAAAAGGACTTTTTGGAAAGAATATCCTAATTTTCTCTGTACTTTTGATTTCAGTAAAGGTCAAGGTAGTGTCTTTAGAATTTGAAAACTTTTTATTAAAGATTTGTGTGGACATAGAGTCTCTGGTCTATTAAAGACGAAATTAAAGACTGGTAGGAAATATCATGAATCAGAGTTAACACATTAAAGTGTCATGAACTGTGTTTAATCTGAGAATGAGCTCATAATGGGAGAAAGTCAGGTTTATGCAAACTTGGAAAACACCAGAGGTTTCATTCAACTCATAAAAGTGCCAATAATGATCATTTTATTTCCCGAATTTAGCATTCTAATCACAAAACCCCATGTAATATCACGAGTGTACAGTGCAGTTATTGGGAGTATATCTGTAAAACACACATATGTTAAATACAGACAAGAAATCATTTGAGTTTGAGAAAGCTGCTTAGAACAGGCTTTCCAGATTTGCTGGGTGACTATTGTAGCATCATCCTAGAGATTCTGTGACGCACTGGAGTAGTTGGAACGCCTGTTGTAAAGCAGAATACCCGTATGTTTTTCTCACAAGGTCAATCATGCTAAAACCTCCCCAGGAATGGCCTTCTTTCCCCTGTATTCCGACAGTCTGAGACATCATTAAGAAAAAGTAAGGGTGGAGAAAAACATTAAAATTTTGGAGGTGAAGCTAAAAAATATCTGGAAAATGTGTGAAATGTAAAAAAGCTAAAATTGGTTTTTCCTTTTCCTTTAGGAGGGATGGATAATAAAATATATCCAGGTTTACTTTAGCTATGCAACAATCAGTCACGCTATAGCAGGGGGGGGTGCCATGATACCCTAGTTAATGTCCCCATTGCGTAACTTTTTCTGTCTCTTTAGAAGAAAAACTTGTGTTACCTTGTTTGCCCAATTCATGTTAAAACCACCTATGCTGTTGAAGGCTGTCAGCTGCTGGTGACAACTGGTGAAACACTAATACCCAGTCTTGCTGAGTTGGTTAAATGCAGTTGCCAACTCCGCTTTGCTTATGCCAGGCAGGCAGCACCCCCCCACACAAAGCAGCGGTGTTCTCCCTCCGGGACAGATACTCTGATCTAGGGGAAGTGTGTGCCACCTTCCTCCCCTGCTGTCCTCATCACCGGGCAACTACTGAGACAACAATTGGCAACAGAAGTACTTCTACTACATGGAACACAGAGGAGGATAAACATCATTAAAAACGGGGCATCACGGAGTTAAGGTTTCAAAATTTTACCGGAGGTGGCTTTAAATGCACTAAACCACAATAAGCCCTTTCTTACAGCAATACTCATGGGTGAAAACTGTTTCCTTCTCTGGAAGGGGTTTG